TTCTTCTTGAGTTTACCTGGTATCAGAGCACTAAACCATCTCACCAGTGGATTTGGCTCTCTGTGGTCGACGGTAGCTTCTGGCTTCCGGGTCGCATCGATGCGTGTTCAGGTTTCTGGCATCTAAGTCGGTTTGAACCTCGTGTTCCCGGCGTTTGAGTCTTCCACACGTAGTTGCCGACTGTTCTGTCTTCCTCTCCCACATCGTCGGCCATTCGGTACCTCTTCCGGTTTGGGTTGACAAGTTGCCTGAAGATTTCAGGTCCATTTATCCAGTCAGTGACCGATTGTAGCGCTGGGCAGATTCTGGTTTCTATTTGGGTTGGAGTCGGCATTCCAGGTTTAATGAGTCCATCTCTGTGTGGGCAGTATAATTGTTGGTCCATTATTTTTGGCATTTAATTGTTGGTCCATTATTGTTGGGCTAATTGATTTAGTTGGGCTGGGCTATCATTATGCCCCCGTTTGAGCCCCATTATTTGGAGATTATAATGTTATGAATAGTGTTTTTTTGAAAAATGAGTGATTGAAAAGAAAAGAAAAGTTTTTGGTTTACGCGTAATATTATTTTATTGAAGATTGTGTGGTTAAAAATATGAGAGAGAAATTTAATTTAATCTAATGAGAAATAATGGGGGCCAAACGGGGGCTATGTGTGTTGTTTTTGTCTTTGATTAGTCAATTTGGACCTTGGGTTTCGTTATCATGGATGATAAATAAAAACATTTAGCCGTGACTGATGTCATTCGAGTAATGTTCAAAATCACAGAACATAAGTTGGTTGGTCCAAATTATTTAGATTGGTGTAAGACAGTTCGAATTTATTTGCGGAATATTTCTATGGATAATTACCTTACTGAAGATCTACCAAGGGATAATACCAGCCAAACATGGGTAAGAGATGATGCTCGATTATTCTTACAAATTTGAAATTCCATTGACACTGAGATAGTTAGTCTAATTAATCATTGTGAGTATGCTAAGGAATTGATGGAATATTTAGAATTTATGTACTCTGGGAAAGGAAATGTGTCCCGTATTTACGAAGTTTGCAAGAGTTTTTATGGTACCGAACAACATGATCAATCTCTCCAAGCTTATTTTATGAATTTCAAAAAGACAATGGAAGAATTAAACGTTTTGCTACCTTTGAGTTCTGATGTGAAAGTTCAACGAACTCAGCTGGAGTAAATGGCTGTGATGAGTTTCCTAGCTGGTCTTAATTCTCCATTTGAGACCTCTAAATCTCAAATCCTCTCCAATGCTGAAATTTCTTCTCTACAAGAGACTTTAGAGAGTACTTCGCACAGATATTAGTACTTCTGTTGCTTCATCAGTTCAGGATTCTAGTGCTCTTATCAGTCGTGGTGGTAGAGGTAAAAGAAGAGGCAGAGGTACAGGTGGTCGAATTAATCGGAGTCAGAATGAAGGGGGTGTTATATGCTATTATTGTCATAAACCGGGTCATACCAGATCTTTGTGTCGAAAATTGCATAATAAATCTCAGAAGTCTCACTCAGCTCATGTTGCGACTGCTACTTCTTCTGGGCAGACTATTACAGTTTCTACTGATGAATTTGCCAAATTCATTTAGTACCAAGAAACATTAAAGAATTTTTTTCACTCTATTTCTACCATTGCTGAGACAGGTAAACCTAATACATGCCTTCTCTCATTTTCATCAAAATGGGTTATTGATTCTGGCGCTCCAGATCATATGACAGGTAATCCCAGTCTCTTTTCCGCTTTTCAATCACATACATCTCCTTCCACTGTTACTCTAGCTGATGGCTCTGCATCTTGTGTACTTGGCTCTGGCACTATTAAGTCAACCCCATTAATTTCCTTATTATCTGTCTTAAGTCTACCAAAATTTTCTCTCAATTTAATGTCTGTTAGCAAACTTAATAGAACCTTAAACTATTCTGTCTCATTTTTCCCCATTATTGTGTTTTTCAGGATTTTGTGACAAAAAAGATTATTGGTAAAGGACATGAATCAGGCGGTCTCTATATTCTGGATACCTAGGTGCCCAAGTCCATTGCACGTTTAGGTGTCTTAACTCCATTTGAAGCCCATTGTCGGTTGGGACATCCATCTTTACCTTTGTTGAAGAAATTATGTCCTTAATTTCAAACTGTATCATCTTTAGATTGTAAGTCGTGTCAGTTTGCGAAACATCATCGTTTGTCCTTAGTTCCTTGAGTCAATAAAAAAGCTAATTCTCATTTCGGGTTAGTTCATTCAGATGTTTGGGGTCTGTGTCTTGTCGTGTCTCAAACCGGATTTCGGTATTTTGTTACATTTGTTGATGATTTTTCTCGTGTGACTTGGTTTTATTTAATGACGAATCGTTCTGAATTATTTTCTCATTTTAGTACATTTTGTGCTGAAATTAAAACACAGTTTGATGTGTCTGTACGTACATTGAGAATTGATAATGTCAAAGAATATTTTTCTGATTCTTTTCAGACTTACATGCTTCGGAATGGTATTCTTCATCAATCCTCCTGTGTTGACACACCCTCTCAGAACGGTGTGGCTGAAAGAAAAAATAGACATCTTCTTGAGACAGACAGGGCACTCCTGTTCCAAATGCATGTTCCCAAACTATTTTGGGCTGATGTCGTCTCCACAGCCTGTTTTTTGATTAATCGAATGCCTTCATCTGTTCTTTATGGTGAAACTCCTTACAATGTCATTTTCCCCACCAAATCCTTGTTTCCCATTGAACCAAGAATATTTGGTAGTACTTGTTATGCTCTTGATATATGTCCCCAGGTAACTAAATTAGATCCAAAGTCCCTAAAATGCATTTTTTTGGTTTATTATCGTCTACAAAAAGGGTATCGATGCTACTGTTTGAGTCTTAACAAATATTTTGTGTTGGTTGACGTTACCTTTCTGGAACACGTTCCTTTCTTTTCCACTTCTTCTACTTCTCTCAATAAGGGGAATGATGATGATCTGTTTGTTTATCATGTAACTTCTACACCTATTGCTTCCACACTACCTATCCTCTAGGTGTACTCCAGACTACGAATCCCCCCGATACATGTTCGGCACCTAGCTCTTCTTCGCCATTGGATCCAATATCTAGTGATCTCGATCTGCCTATTGGTTTTCGTAAAGGTAAATGTCAGTGTACTTACCCTATTTCATCATTTGTTTTTTATGATCACTTGTCCTCTTCTTCTTGTTCTTCTGTTGCCTCCATAGACTCCGTAACTATTCCAAAAACTGTTCATGACGCCTTATCCCATCCTGGATGGCGTGATGCTATAATAGAGTAGATTAGCGCTTTAGATGTTAATGGTACTTGGGATTTGGTGAATTTACCTGTAGAAAAAAGGCTATTGGATGTAAGTGGGTGTTTGCGGTCAAAGTCAATCCTGACGGATCAGTGGATAGACTTAAAGCTCACCTTGTGGCTAAAGGCTATGCCCGGACTTATGGTGTGGATTATTCTGACACTTTTTTCCTGTAGCCAAAAAATTAATGTCTGTTTGTTCATTTCAATGGCAGCTATACATACTTGGCCTCTACATGAATTAGATATCAAAAATGCTTTCTTACATGGTGATCTCCAAGAGGAAGTCTATATGGAGCAACCGCATGGGTTTGTTACTCAGGGGGAGTACGGGAAAGTGTGTCATGTTAGAAAGTCTTTATATGGTTTGGAACAGAGTCCACGTGTGTGGTTTGAAAAATTCAATCAAGCAGTGAAAAGTTTGGAATGCAAAAGAGCAAGTCTGATCACTCAGTATTCTACAAACAGTCTGAATCCGGTATTATTCTCCTTGTTGTATATGTTGATGATATTATTATCATTGACAGTGATGCTCTGGGAATTTCATCTCTAAAATCCTTTCTCCACACCCAATTTCACACAAAAGATTTAGGGATGTTGAAGTATTTCTTAGGAGTTGAGGTGACAAGAAGTAAGAAAGGCATCTTCTTATCTCAGAGAAAATATGTACTGGACTTATTAACCGAGACAGGAAAGTTGGGAGCTAAACTAAGCAGTGCTCCAGTGCTTCCTAATTTGCAACTTACCAAAGATGGTGACTTATTTGATGATTCTGAGAAATATAGAAGATTGGTTGAGAAATTGAACTATCTTACACTAACTCGTCTTGATATTGCGTATTCTGTTAGTATTGTAAGTCAATTCATGCCTTCCCCGACAGTTCGCCATTGGACAGCGTTAGAACAGATCCTGTGTTATTTGAAGGGAGCTCTTGGACGTGGATACTGTACAGAAATTATGGACATACTCTCATCGAATGTTTTTCAGATGCAGATTTGGCAGGTTCCAAGATTGATTGAAGATCTATTATTGGCTATTGTGTTTTTGTTGGAGGAAATGTGGTCTCATGGAAAAGTAAGAAGCAAAATGTTGTATCTTGATCTAGTGCAGAATCAGAATACAGAGTTATGGCATAATCTGTGTGAGATAATGTGGATATATCAACTCCTAACTGAAGTCGGTCTTAAGATCTCAACACCAGCAAAGTTATGGTGTGACAATCAAGCGTCTCTTCATATTGCTTCTAATCCGGTGTTTCATCAATGAACTAAGTATATTGAGATTGACTGTCATTTCGTGCATGAAAAGGTGCAGCAGAATTTAATATCTGCGGGACATGTGAAAACTGGAGAACAATTCGGAGATATCGTCACAAAGGCTCTAAATGAGATTTGAGTTGATTATATTTGTAACAAGCTGGGCATGATTAATATTTATGCTCCAGCTTGAGGGGCAGTGTTATGGCATGTAAATATGTAGGCTTAATTAGAGGGACTCCTAATTAGTATCCTACCAAATATAGAATCTCTAATTTGTATATATATATATATATATATATATAGGTATTGTCAGGTATGAAGAGATTAAGGAAAAAGTATTTTTTTTCTTCTTGAGTTTACAATGAATAATGGTCTTGACTATTCAACATCAACCTAATTCGGTTTAATTATAGTCCTTCTGGTTTGTGACAGGTTTCTTAACAAAGCATTGGTTGCACCTGATGGTTCTGTGGAAGACTGGAAAGTTAGTGAGATATCTGAGATTGAGGAGGCAAAGGCAGTTCTCAGGCTTGTTCCAATATGGACTACATGTTTAGGATATGCCATTATATATTCACAATCCTCCACTTTATTCACCAAGCAAGGAGTTACAATGGATCGCCATATCACGTCTAGCCTACGAATACCAGCTGCTTCATTTCAATCTTTTGTCAGTGTTGGCGTTGTTGTCTTTATTCCAATCTATGATCGCGTTGTGGTTCCAATTGCAAGATCAATAACTGGGAAACCTGCAGGCATAACAATGCTTCAACGAATTGGAACTGGAATAACTTTATCTTTTCTTTCCATGGTAATTGCAGCTTCAGTTGAGAGGGAACGTCTGAAAATTGCTGTCAAATATGGACTGGTGGATCTGCCAAATGCAACTGTACCAATGAGTGTGTGGTGGCTGCTACCTCAGTATTTGCTTTTCGGAATTGCAGATGTATTCACCTTGATTGGGCTCCAAGAATTCTTCTACGACCAGGTTCCAAATGAACTGAGGAGTATTGGTCTTGCTCTATACCTCAGCATCTTTGGCATAGGAAGCTTTTTGAGCAGCTTTCTTATCTCTGTGGTGGAGAAAGCCACCAGTGGCCCGGGTCAAGATGGTTGGTTTTCAGACAACCTTAATCGGGCTCATCTCGATTACTTCTATTGGCTACTGGCTGGGCTTAGTGCTGTTGCACTCGCTGCCTACATCTACTTTGCAAAATCTTACATCTATAGGCGAAGAAATAGTCTGTGAAGTTGTATAGAACTACTACCTCGACAAATTATGGGGAGTAGAACTGCAATATTGTGCAATAAACTGAACTAATAGTTAATAGTTTGTGTATATATCGCAAGAAGAATTTGTAAATAAACAATGTTGCTTGTATGTGTATACATCTTTCGAATTTTATTTATTTATTTTCAAATTAACAAAACGATAACATTGCAAATCGATTTTAGAGTGGAGTTTCCTTGCTTGCAGCACTAACCATTGAGGTTATGTGCGTCAAGGCATTACGTCTTCGATGAACTCAGTTTTCAACATGTCTAAGAATCGAATATTATTACTTATTGAAAACATGAAGTCGAGAGAGAAGAACATGCTACTCTTCTTGTAAAGTTAGGTTAATAATAAAGATAGTATTAAATTCATCGATTAGACCTTATAGGGACGAATGCACCATTTGAACTCTATTCACTGTAAAATTGGCTCGAGATTGAGTGTTTTGTAACTTGACGTAAATAATAATTTCTTCAATGATACAATCCAAAAATCAATTTATTTATCGTACTCGTACAGAAGTTTCCACTTGTTTTGTTCCTAAGCTTCATAAAACTCTCTACGAAGTTAAATACGTTTCGAGTAGTCCTAGACAACTTGCCCACTATCACTTTTTGTAGTATCTACGAAACTAAATCATGCATGCTTAAAGAATAAATAACTTCTACTAAAATTTGTTGTGTTTTGAAAGCAATCAGAATAAAATCTCTATTTTGTATACTCATTTTTCTCAAAGTAGGATGGTTGTGCTCCTGAGAAATAGCCAAATCGACTATATTTTGGATGTCAAAACTCCGTTCTTAGATGGCGTCATTGATGGCTCCATCGACTTCAAAAGTCGCAATTGGTAAATATATGTAGTCCTCGGATAAAATATCTCGAGTGCTAATATAATATTCGAAACGTTTATGAAATGTTATTGAAGCATCGCAAATGCATTTCATCAACGACTTCGTCAACCTCCATTTTAAAAGCTTGATAGATGTGATGACGAGACTGGTGAAATGTTAAAAGGGAGTGATTTAGAAGTTATTTTTGCCATTTCAACAAAATCACTAGTGACATGGCATAAATTGCATTTTAGAAGGAAACTTTTAAATTAAAAAAAAAAAAAAAGTTTAAAGAAATTGGGGGAATTGCAGTGTAATACCAAACGTTTCAAAAATCTGCAACATGATCCCAAAATTTAAAATCGTAGCAGATATGTCCTAAATCAACAACTTTCGTCCAAAAATCCATTAGTTGACCAAAAACCAAGCCTTTGACCATAACTTGATCACAATAATATGATGATATTAAAATTTTCAACTAGATTTATTAAATTATTCTTAAACATATGTTTATATAGATTTGTTAATTATTTGTAAATGGTATTAGAAAATAAAATCTTATTCAATAATTTATAAAATTTAAAACAAAATTTATGAATTTTTTCACTAAAATGGTTTCTAAGTATGAAAAATATATCTTAAAAAATAAGAAAACGAAAATATATAGTATAAATATAATAGTATAAAAATCTTAGAGTATAATAGAGGGGAAAATGGAAAATGTACATCTATTTCAGCCGACAGGAGGTACATGTCATAAAAAGTAAACTTCAAGGGTGGTTTTGAATTTTTTAAAAAGGAAGGGAGTGTCTATATAATTATCATACCTCCCTTGAGGTTTATGTAATTTGATATTTATGTGTATATCTTATTTTATTTTTTGGAAAAGGGGAGGGTTTTGTTTTTCAACAATTTATCAATTAGCAAATGACGATTTTCATCCAAAAATTTTGTTAGCATGCTTTAAAACAGGTGACAAATATTTTATTGCACTCCTAATGAAATATTTGGACATAAATTATCATTAAGAAAAAATTCGTATAAACGTGTGATTAAAAAAAAAATGTTATGATCTTGAGTAATAATAAAAATAATAATAATGAATTTTTTATTGCAACTAAAATGGAATGCATGTGGCGTGACATAAACTTTACATGATTTGCCCTATAAGAAAAAGCTCAAAAATAGTAAAATACTGTATTTTTTCCTTGATGGCCCCTCATCCGAGTCACTGCTGCTTATAATTCTCCATTGATGCTCCGAAGGGGCCCTCATGCAAGGAACTGCTGATACAAATTAGTCGTTAATAATATCTTCGATTTGTCTTTGAATGATTTGCACAATTAAAGAAGAATAAAGTAACGACACGCGTTTCATCTTTCATCAAATCAACAATTAAAGAATAAATTCCATTGAACTTTTCTGAAATTTACACATATTAATGTTCGATAACAATCCCTTTCCTGTTTACCAATTTTTGCCACTTCAGGTGGTTTTTTTTGCTACAGAGATATGGCTATTCCAATCTCCTCAGCCGCTGGAGCCGAAGTTCCACTGTTAAACAACGACGTTGTTCATGGCTCCGTCGACTTCAAAGGTCGCCCGGTCACGCGATCAGGATCCGGAGGTTGGAAGTCAGCTTTCTTCATCATAGGTACGTATCGTAATTTGCAGAATTTTCCTACAACAGATTTGCAACTTGAGATACAATTAATTGATTGTTTATTTATTATTTTGTTCTGTTTATTAGGTGTTGAAATGGCTGAGAGAAGTGCATACTATGGAATACTTTCAAATTTGATAAGCTATTTGACGGGTCCATTAGGCCTCTCCACTGCAACAGCGGCGGCAAATGTGAATGTGTGGACTGGAACGGCCATGCTTACGCCGCTTTTGGGTGCTTTCGTGGCCGACTCTTTTCTCGGCCGATAGCGAACCATTATTATTGCCACCGGGCTTTATATCCTGGTCAGTTCAAAATGATTTACGCGAAAATTGGCATAATCAGTATTTCCAGTTTTTAAATTAATTGCTATGATGGATAGACTTATTTAGGAGTGGTTATACCAGGTTCAGCTGCACAAAAAGATGTGATATTTCAAAATTCTGATATTGTCAATAGATCAAAGCAAAAACACACACTTCTCCAGCAGATTGAAAGTTTATCAGGTTGAGAAAAAGGGTTGAAATTTGTCCGTTTAGGTTATCAAATTAAATTCTGATTTTTTTCAATTGAATTGGCAGTCTTTTGGCACTATATTTTGCATGTCAAATTTTTTTTTTTTCTAACTTTAAAGTTTGAACACTTATAAACTGGTAATAATCAGCATGTTTTGTTTGCCATGATGCAAATGCATTTTCTTGGTTGAGCTTGTGATATTTGGTCTGTTAGTTGCTGGAATTTTCTGTATGTTAAAATGAACTTTGGATTCATTATGGGGTGCAGTGGTCATTCAAAATATAAGGGTGCGTTTGATTTTGTTGTTTTCAAGATGTTCTCAATTTTACAAAACTCTAAAAATGTGTTTGATCTGATTTTTTGAAAACAAGGTTAAACTTATAATGTAATACTCAAAATGCATTTTTGACATGATGAGTATTGTCGTGAAAATTAGTATTGGGCATAGTCCCGTTCGGTTCTCATTAAGTTCGATTCTAACGAGAATCGAACTGGATCCAAAATTTTTGGGTATTTAGTAAGTGGAACTGTCGGGTCCAAAATTAATTATGAAACTATTTGAATTCAGTCCCATTCGATTCTCAAGTTCTATACTATAATTTTTTTTTTAATTTTTACAAAGCTACGTTAATTTTACTAATGACATGTTAAATCTTGGCTTTTACAAAATAAAGCAGTCCAATTTTGTATGTCTTTTATATCTCTCTTTGTTAAGTTTTTCATAGTTTTGATTGTTAAAATCATAGAAAGAGGAAGATAGCGAGCTCACAATAATTGAGAGAGGCGCTATTAAGTTTCAATTCGATTTCTCCAAAACGGTAAAAACTACACCACAGTAGAATAACAGATTTAGATAAAATTTAGGTCAATTTAATTAAGTTAGGGTTAGACTGAAAATTAGAAATGAGAAAATCATATTTTGAGTTTGAGCTAAATTAAATAATTAGAAAATTTATTTAGAAAAAATAAAATAATTTGGTTTATTTAAGTTAAATAAATTAATTAGGAAAATTCGGTTATTATTCTATTCTAGATCTAGAATCAGAACCAAACTGAACCAGTCGGTTATCGATTTAGATACACGTTTAGGTATTTAACTTAAAAAGAACCACTTGTTTCAGTTCAATTTGGTTCTGGTCCGGGTTCGGTTCGTTCCAATTCAATTCGGGAGTTTTGTCCAACTCTAGTGAAAATTCTGAAAACATTCAAAACATAGAAAAAAGTTGTTTAAATAAAATTTTTAAAATTAAAAATTTTAAAAATAGAAATATAAAATTCTAAAAGATAAAATAAAATAAAATTCCTAAAAATATACATAGTAAAAATTTAGAAAATGTTCACAAACTGTAAAATGTATATATTACTTGATAATTAACATAAAGTTGTTCTATTTTTAATGAATAATCAAATTCATGGAATAAAATGTCATAAAATAATTTTTCAAAATTTCATACCAAACCAAACCTATTTTCTAATTTTCTATTTTAAGAAATAATTTTTTCAAAATGACAAACCAAATATGTTTTTAGCAATTTTTAGAGAAGCCAAGGACAATGCACGAGTAGGTCCGGACCAAAAAAAAAAAGAAAAGAAAAAAGTATACTGAAAATCAAACCAAACCAATCAACCCAACTTGGGTCAATTTGACACGGAAATAATTGGTTTGGTTTGATTTATTTTTTTAAACAAACCTATGATGGCCGGTTCAATTATGGTTTAAAGTCTCAAATTGCTGGTTAACCGAACTAATCAAACTTACTTACATATTTACCTTTTTAGCTTTTTAAGAAAATAAAAATCAAAAGATGATTGAGAATTTTCATTTACAAGCTCACTATGTTATACATTGCTTTTTTTTCCTTAACTCA